GAGGATACAGAAGACTTTTAATTCCAGAGAGAGGACTAGTTGGTGAGATATCAGCAGTATATGCGCATCCTTTTGGAACTGCACAATGGACAGATATGGGGTTGTTAACATTTTCAGCAGAGAGACCAGATAAGAATTCAACTGAGTTTAGGATTAGATAGGAAAAAGTGTCCTGGATGAGAAATCATGGAAAAATGGCTTCAGGAGCCATACTGATAAGTGGAAAAAACCACTGCTCAATCTGAATGGAGACTGTGTCTTAAGCAACTTAAATGGAGTAGCTGGATCCAGAGATACTTAAATTGCAGAGACCTGCAACGGGCTGGTGGTGGGGAGCATAATTTGCGGATGGAAACTTATCAAAGGGAGATCCAATCTAGAATTAAGGAGAAATTTCCTGACAGTGAAAACAATTCACTATCTTGCTTCCGAAGTTGTGGGTGCTCCAACACTGCAGGTTTTTAAGAAGAGATTGGATAGCCGTTTGTTCAGAATGGTATAAAGCAAGGGTGTCAAACTCAATTTCATTGAGGCCCGCATCAGGGCTGTGACCTCGGGGGGGCTGGATAGGAATGGCTGATGGAGTGGGTGTGGTCAACTGGGTGGGCATAGTCAGCTTGATGCCACTCACTGGGCATGGCTGACTTGATGGGTGTAGCCAATTGGATGGGTGTGGGTAGCTTGATGCCACTCCCCAAACTACTGTCATGTTTCCTTTTTGCACTGGGTAGACCAGGCTGAAGTGATGTAGGCTGGCCCCTTACATTTTCCAGGATGGCCCCATAGACTGGATAACATCACATCATGAGCTGGATCCAGCCCGTGGGCCTTGTGTTTGTCACCCCTGGTATAGAGTCTCCTACTTGGGCAGGAAGTTGGTCTAGAAGAGTTCCAAGGTCCTGTAGGAAGTTATCACCCAGCCCTCTCCCAGAAAAAAGAAATATCCTAGGAAATATTGAAAAGGCAGAATATTTCTCTGGATGTGAAAAGAAAGAAACATGTTTTNACGTCTCTGAGGTCACTGGATCTCCCCAAACCTTCACTGTCTCTCCGGGACAGCTAGGGTCGTAAACGACCCATCCATTTCTTCCGGAATAGGGGAATTTCAGGAATGGCCTGAAACTCCGTCTTCTCACTGCTAAGCCCCGCCTTCTTCGATATAAATATTTTTGAATGTGGCTGAATTAAAATAATATGCTGAATGTTTGTAGTTTATATGTTTGCAAAAGAATATGAAATGGAAGTTACTTTAACACTATTTCCTTGTAGGGGCCTATTCGCTTGTTGTTTGTTGTTTGATAGATATCCTGTCTTTCTGCTCTAGTACTATTCAAAGTGGCTATCAGATTTTAACCATTTAAAAAGTTATAGATAAGGAATAGCACTTTCAATTGAGCCTAAGAATGAACTGGAAGTGAATGAGAGTCATTTATTGCTTGTGTTTATATTCTAAGCCATTAGAATAGATGATGCTGTATCTCTTCCATTACTTCTATGAAGAAAAGCAATATATAAACTAAAGAGATACAGATAGTCCTCAGTTAGCCGCCACAATTGGGATTTACATGGTTATTAAGCGAAGCAATTGCTATATGAAACTGACTGCTTACATTCCTACTTCCAATTTCCTTTGCTTTATAGATCTGCAGTTGGTAAATGTGGATTGGCCTCAGTTATTTTTTTCATCACCAATTTAACCAAGAATGATTTCTAAACTAGTCAATCACTAAACAAGAATTACATGTATATGCTATTTACTTAGTTATTTGATTAACCAAAGTAACTTAAATTTGTTCATGTAATCTGATAAACAAACAATCATGTTCAGCTGATCAAATCATAAGGGCTATTTCCAAAACCCTAATTTCCAGACAAGCATGCCACATTTTACTATGTAATGTATATCCAGTCAAAAAAATCAAAATTAATCTATATTCATTTATGTTTTATCTATCTAGCCATATATGGGCTGCAAAATCCACATGACAACTAGATGGCAACAGTTACTCAAAAAATCTTAACTTAGTTGCCAATTATGGGTGATCTGTGTTTTTGTAGTTCAGAACAAATAGCACACATCAATTGGTATGTTAGAATCCAATAATAGCCCTACTATTTACATCCAATCTAAATGATTTCAGTAAGTACTTCAGAGCTTGAGATGATGAGACACCATTCAGTGAAAATAGGTATTAGTTCTGATCCAGATGTTGAAACAAAACAGTATGGGATTGTAGAAAAGATGATGAAGTGTAACAAGAGTATGGGATTGTGGAATAAGCGCCCAATAACCTATGGAAAGTTGCCTTGGACATTTTGCAAAATCTGATTTTTATGACTTTTCTAACATTTTACCAACTCATATCTAGTACTATTGCAATGTCTATCAGAAATTATCTTTTGCTGTTGTGAGCATTGTAATATATAAAGAAAACAACACTGATTGTAAAACAACTGAAACAGCATTAGGAAAAAGTCTTAATACTATTGCTTTTACAACATCAGCTATAAACCTCTTTTATCACTTTAATCCAAATTTCCAGATGGGAAAACTATTATATAGCTTCAGGATTTTAAAACACCCACACAAAATTTTACCCTAACTTTAATGGTTTATCATTCATTCATTAACAACAATGTAGTAGGTAGTTACAGTTACTTAATCAACCTACTTCACAGAATTGTTGTTCTAGGTCCATTTTATTTATTATTTATAAATAATTTTAATTATTAGTATTAATTTAGCTGTTTACAGGGAAATATAAACTGAATAAGAACTTAACTGCCTGAACAATTGCTAAGATTCAATGTGTCAATATCCAAACAGGAATATGCTTATACTTAATATTGCTATGAAGATAAAAATGGAAAATTGACAATCATTTGAAGTAAGACTGAGAGGTAATTGCTGACTTTCTCCAAGATGGCATGCTGAACAGTGGGCAATTTTTCTCTCTTCCACCAACAAACTGCTGAGTTTGCCAACCAAGTTTTGTCAACTTTACTGGGAAAAAGGAAGGAAGGACATAAGAAAACCTTTAGGCAATTGTACATATTCAAAGGAGAGGGATCTTGAAGATTGCAATTCTCACTAAGGAACGATCAAAAGGTCAAGTCTTTTACCATCTTTACCATTCAATTGTTCGTTTTTAAAAGCATACCTTGGTTTAATTGCACTTTTCAAATTCCTATATTTTTTGATCTATACTTTTTAATAAACTAGTTCAGGGGTCCCCACCTGCCCAGGTACACTCAATAGTGGGCCATGAGCTATTTGCAACTGGACCAGGTGGGCAGGTGAGTGCACATATGCTCCATTTATAGGAACAGCACAGAACAACAGCAGTTGCCAGTTGCTAGTATGGAATCATTTCCTCTCCCCTCCCACACCCCCACTGGTCTGCAAAATCAGAAAGGTTGGGGAATTCTGGACTAGTTGACTGCTAATCTATTTTACAACCCTTGTTGGATCTTTACAACTTTTTTCCTTGTTCTCTCATTGTTTGTCATTGAATTACAAAACAAAACATTGAATTACTTTCATTTTCTGTAAGGAAGCTGGTGAAAATTCACTCTCCGATAATAAAAGTCACCCAATTGGACTTACATTCAGAGTAACATCAAAAAGCAGAAAGTAACAGTGGGACTTGATTTGCAATTTGATGAATTGGAATATGATTTGTTGCTGCAAGATATGAAGAAGAAAGGACCTACTCTAAAAATTCAGATCTGGCAAAAAGATTGACAAGGAAACGAGACTCCTGGCTCTGGGAAATAGGATGCAGTTGTTGGGAAAGATCCCATTTAAAAATCTAAGGAATGGTTTTATTATCAAAAGTCAAACGAGGATATTTGATCCTGTACAGATTAGAGATAAGGATGGGAGTGATTTGTAGTAGATAAGAAACTGTTGTAAACTTTCTATGAGCTAATTACAAAATAGTTAACAGAGGGTTTTGAAGTTTAACATGGTTGTTGATTAATCTGTTAAGTATTATTATAGCTAGATGTATAATCTGTCAGGTTGGTTGCAAATAGATATACAAGTTTATAAAACTTAGACCTGACTCACAAGGGGAGAAAACTCTTATTGTTGCTATATATTTGTTAGTGCTCAACTCGAGAGATAATTTGCATTTTTCACTTTTGTCTTTCTAATACATCTTTTTTTTAAGAATAATTTTTATTGAATGTTTTAATCTTTAAAAACAATAAATAAGACAGAAGAACAAAAAAACCCAAAACATACATAATAATATACAGTAATTTTACAGCTTTCTGTATCAGCTTTCCTGATTAGCTTTTATAATTCTCCCTTCTGCATTGCCTTCCTATTACTTTAACCTTGTCCTATAATGTAGCAAACGTATTATTAACACTTATAATAATATTCATTATTTGTATCAATATATATTTATATTCTCTATTTTTTTGTTTTGGCTTCTGATTTCTAGTCACTTATACATTTTATTCCATACTTAATAGAAGTCCGATTCTTTCTTTTAGTTCTATTGTCATTTTATCCATTTCTGTGCATTCAAGTATTTTCCTGATTGTAGTTTCATCTGAGGGTGTATTGTTTTTTTTCCAGTTTTGTGCAAAAGCAATCCTGGCTGCAGTGAGTATGTAAATAATTATGTATTGAGATTGTTTATCCATTTTTTGGTCTAGTAGTCCTAATAAGAATGCTTCTGGTTTGAGTTCTATTTTTCGCTCAGTAATTTCTTCCAAGCATTTCTGAATTTTGCACGAGTACTTCCTTGTGATGGGGCATGTCCACCGTATATGATAGAATGTTCCAGGCTTGTGGCTACATCTCCAACATTTGGGGGATAAATTTGGGTACATTTTGGCCAATCTGGCTGGAAGCAAATGCTATCAATAAACATTTTATAGAGATTTTCTTTGTAAGCTACTGCTGTCGTAAATTTATAATTTCTTTCCCATAGTTTATCTCATTTTTCTAACTCTATGTTATGGCCAAAATTTCTTCCCCAGCTAATCATTGTCTCCTTTACCGTCTCTTCCTCCAATATTTTAAAAGAAAATTATATAATCTAGTGATGATTTTTCCTCCTGTTCCTAGTAATATTTTATCTAATTCCATTTGTTTCTCGTGTATTCTGTATTGTTCCCGATCTTTTTAAAATCTTGTTTTAATTTGAAGATAGGGCCACCATTCCATATTTATTCCTTGTGTTTTTAGATCTTGTACTGATTTTAGTTCTCCTTTTTGATCTAAGAGCTCTGCATATCTTACCATTTTACTGAGATCTATAGTATTTAGATATGTCATTGCCTCCATCGTTGATAACCAGATTGGAATTTTCAGGTAGTGGTGTTTATTTTTATTTTTTCCAGATCCTAAACAGGGCATCCCTTACTATATGTCTCTCTCCTAGAGGAAGCCATGCCAGCCTAGTTGGAGATCGTGGCCATCTAGCATAAGGATTCTTTTATTTTTTTAGTTGAATCCAGTCCTTGGGCCATGTCAGGGCTTCCGCTTGATAATCTGGGAGGCCAAAGCCCCTTTTGTTTCTAATGTCTTGTAAATGTTTGCATTTAATACACATTTTTCCCCCCTGACCAGATAAATTTGGATACCATTTTATTTAGTTGTTTTATTTAGTTGTTTGGGGAAAAAAATCTCTAATTATCGGTTTTGTTTGAAAACGATAAAGTAGTTTGAGTAATACATTTGTTTTGATTATTGAGATTCTGCCAATTAATGATATCTGTAGTTTAGTCCAATTATCCAAATCTTTTTGTATCTGTCGTAGCAATTTGTTGTAGTTATCTTCTTTTATTATAATACATTTTGCGGATAACCATATTCCCAAATATTTAATTTTCTTGGCCCTTGAAATTCCCAGTTTCTCCTCCAATTCTTCAATTTGTCTTTTGGTTAAATTCTTAGTTCATATTTTAGTTTTCTCTTTATTTATTTTAAGCTCTGCCACTTTACCAAATTGGTTTATATCTTGTAATAGTTTTAGTCCAGTTTCTAGGGGTTCCTCTATGATAAATGCTAGATCATCTGCAAAGGCCTGCATTTTGTATTCATGTGTTGTAATTTTCAACCCCTTTATGTCCTTGTTTTGCCTAATTTGTAACAATGTCTATATTGAGAGGATAAATAACAGCGGGGATAGAGGGTATCCCTGTCTTACCCCTTTGGTTATGTTGCAACCTTCTGTTGCTTCCCCATTTAGTATTATTTTTGCCCTCTGTCTAGAATATATTGCTCTGATCATCTCAATAAATTTCTCTCCAAAGTTCATAACTGCTAATTGATTTATAAGAAAATCCCAATTCAACCCTAATCCATCTTTTTAATGTCTCTATTTAGTTTAGTTTTATTTTTGTAAAATTTCCAATCCCCCCTAATTGGAAAAATACAAATTGGAGTTTGTATTTTAATTTTCTGCATTAATTTTTTTAAAATTAATTTACTGATCCATGATGAGTTTATGGCTAACTGAGGATTTAAACAAGGTCTCCCATTCTCAGTAGATCAGCTATTTCATATTCAAGGTACTGACCAAATTTCTTGACATCAACAAATGATTTCATCATATTCTTTCTGGAAAAAAAGGAAGGAAGACTCACAGTATCTAGTTCAATTTCCAAACTGCAGTTCTTAATCTGTGGCAACACTTCTGCATATTTTCCAGGGTGAACAGATGCCAAATACTGCTTCATATTCTCAAGGTTTTCTGTTGTTAATAAATCTTCTTTCAGATCAAAAACATTAGTCAACAGCAAGATCACCCTAAAAGGCAATTTTAAAAAAATCTAATAAAACAAATAGCAGAATTCCCAAGCCTTTAACAACATTTTAGAGTTTTTTTTTTTAAAAAAAAAGGTGGGGGGGACAATTCAAGAAGACAGAATTAATGTTTATTTATCATAACAAAACAAAACATTATTAAATGTTAGACAATTATTAGCAGCACATTAGCTATGTTTACAAGTATTAAGATCCATTTTTCATGAAATTTCATACTTAGTTGTCATCATCTTATTTCAGAAACCTTTCTAAAACCATATACCTTATAAACCATAAAAGCAACTTTCCTTTGTATGAATCAGGAATTATTTTTTAAAAAACCCTAATTTCAGTAAACCATTTTTAAATGTGTATGTTGACTGTCTGAGCAGATTTTTTAAAAAAAAGTGCATTAAAAACCAAGCTTACTTGTTTATGCAGCTTTCATAATTGAAAGTTGCTTTAAAGCCATAAATGGAGAATGTGACAATGCTGGCAAATATTGAGGTAGCACTATTTATTAAGGAAATAATGATGGCATGTCGCTCACAATTGTTGTTTGGCTCATTGTAGCTGGCAAATGCTATTAAACTACCAAAGCCCAGGCCAAGAGAGAAGAAGATTTGAGTAGCTGCATTAATCCAAGTCTTGGGGTTTGCTAGTTGCTCCAGCTGCAAGGCATAAATGATGAGAATTTTCAGAAAGTAGCTATATTAATCATATTACCTATAGCAAAAGTCCAGAGGTACACACAAATTTATTTGTTTTTGTAGCATTTCAAAAAATCTACTTCCTTAATGGAACTGAAAGCCAACTCATTACCAATCTGTAATTTATGAGATAGTCCTTGATTTACAATTGGCTTACAATTGATAGTCCTTGACTCACAAAGTTACGACAACCTGAAGTTCTGACTGTTGCCCTGCCCCCACAGTTATATTACCAAACTTCAGGCACTCTGAAACTAGGCAGCATTTGTGGCCATTTATAGTGTTCCATGGTCACATCAGTGGTGGGTTCCTACCAGTTTGGACCGGTTTGCCCGAACCAGTAGTGGTTTGGTGGACTCGTTTGCTGGAACCAGCAGTGACCCAGGCCTGCCATGCCCCTGAACTAGTTTTCCGGGTGCCGCCATTTTAGTATTTGCTTCTGCGCATGCGCAGAACAATTTTTATTGTATACACAGGATGCAGCAAACATGTAAACAGCACAGATAAAAGCACGCGTACAGCATGGATCAAAGCATATGCACAGCATGGATCAAAGCACACACACAGCACACAACAAGTGTGCACACAGCAAACCCATGAGAAAACCAGCAGTACTGACTGCAGGAACCCACCCCTGGGTCACATGACTGTCTTTTACAACAGTTTGGTAGAAAACTGGCATTTACTTCTGGTTTTCGGAAAAACTGCACCCATAGCAAAACTCTGAATCTCTTTAAAACCATGGCATTTATTTAACAACTACAACTGCCATGTTACAGTTGCTGTATTCACTTAATGTGTCAGCCTCTGCTTTGCTGCCGCTGTCATTGAAATGGGGAGGGGGGCATGGTATTTGGGAGGGGACTACTAATTGTTCTGGAGGAAGATGCTGGAGTTTCTGCTGCCTGTCTTACTGCGCATGCGGAGGAGGTTTCCCGCCAATGNTGTTATATTTTTTAATATAGTGTAAAAACTAATGTGTATTGCTGGTCTTTGACCGTAATAAAGATTTTACTTACTTACTTACACTAATATAGCGCAAAAGTATATTCATTTTACCCAGTGTTTGATGGGCAATGCTTCTAAGAAACAGATTTTGCAATATGTTCCTCTTAATAGAAATACAGGTAGTTCTTGACTTACGTTGTTTGTTCAGTGATTGTTTGGAATTGTGATGGCACTGAATGAAGGGATTATACCCCTGCCTGAAATTATATCTCTGAATCACCCTCCCCCTGTTGCATAAAATTACAGTGCTTGTCAATTCACCTGCCTTTATGACCAACCACAATGATGATGCTGTGCCCCCGCTTATCTTTCTCCCCCTCCTGCCTTGCTGAGTCCCAAGCCGCCCTCCCCAACTCTTGTCATGGCTCTGTCATCTTTTCAGTAGTTCTTTGGAAACCAGCCAATCTGCTGCACCACTTGGTGCTGACCCAGAAATGGGGCCATTTTGGGAGCGGCCACAATGAATTGCTGCTGCTATGAAATTGCATCTATTTCTGGTATGGTGTTATGCAACCTATCTACTGTATAGAAACCAGAGGAACAGATTGGCCAGATTACCTTTCCCTATGTGATCTTGAAGATTCTCCGGGGGGGGTGTGTGTGTCATTTTGCTTATCCAGTGCTAGTCATGGGCTACTCCCTGGTTGTGTCAGGAACTATCTGCTGTTAGCAGTGCTATTCCTTTGCAATATTTAACAGATCTGGAATATTTTGGAATTAACTACTGAAGAATTTTGCTGTTTTTTTCCCCCTTTCCTGGGTGAAAGGTCACATGGACAGCCAAAAACTGTAGAGAGGAAATGAATGTTAATCTCGCCTTGGGAATGGCAAAGAAACAGTTAAATGAGGAAATTTGTCAATTTTGAGAGATCGGAAAGAGGAAAAGAACTCCTTTGCTGTTGTTTAGCATAGGATTGTGTAGTGAAAACTGACATTCAAGATTTAGTTATCTATCCTATAATAATAAAAACTGCATTCCTGAAAGCCTTTCCTGACCTGTTTCTTGAATCTACCCATTCAAAGGGCTGACACAGACTTAACCAAGTGATGCATTCTATGCTTTAGCCTTCATCCCTATTCCTTGTGTGTGATCTGTTCAGCTAGGCTGTTTTTTAAAAGATACATTTAGTGTTATTTTAAAGGAACATTAAACTTTTTTTTTCCAAAACAGAGCTAGCAGATTTGCAAAGTATTATAAGTCTGTGTTCAAGTATAGCCCAGGTGACAAGTTATTGGGCAGAGAAGTTCAATGATGGCAACTTGTCACTTGGAGAACTTGAATGGTGGTTAAAGCTTGCTCCCAGACACTTTTCCAGAGTCACTCAAGCTCATCCCGCCACATGCTGAGGACAGTGATTAGCGGTTGTTTTCCCTGCCAGCAGATGGCACAGGGTGGGAGAAGAAACAGAGGCAGAACAATACACCAATCACTGGTTTTAAATTCCTCCCCATGAAAGCTGTACAAACAGCACTGTCATTAGCTGTTCCACTAAGATAGATTACAGCTTGCTGACTACAGATTTGAACAAATGCATATTAATGTAACTGTGGGGAAGATTTGCTAGATCTCTGTACTTGAATAGACATTTATGTATACTTCTGGACATGTACTGCTTTTCTCACAAGTCTTCCACTTGTGAAATTCAAGATACAAGTTCATGTTTACATACAAGTGATTATGTACATATAAAAAGCTTTTCAGCATACACATCTGAATTAGACATGCAAATTCCAATGTCAAGACAATGTTACAGGTCTATCAACAGAGGTCGAATTTATTGCTGTGGTTTGCATAGTGATTTTTAATGCCTGAATAAGCTGAACTCTATGCTTACAAAATTCTAACCATGTACACTGATATTACTGGGTAATAATTTGTTAGATATTGTTACTCAGAGTAGCAAGAGGAAGTGTATAAGATAACAGTTAGTTGATTGACCAGTTCCTCATAGTCCTAGAATGAAACACATGTGAATATACCTGATGTAGTAATTAGGATCATACATGGGGAAAGATGCAAATTAGGTTCAGGAACTGAGAGACTAAAAGTCAATGACAAAGTGATGTTGTTAGTGAAGTGTGAAGACATTCTATAGTTTGCAGTTGCCATATGTTGCTCACTTAGGAAATACCTATTATTAGGTACATTATTAATTAATAGAAAAGAACCTCTTTTACAGATTATTTGAGCCTTGGAGAACTTTGAATAATATATAAAGATCACGGGTACAGCTATGCATCTGGTTATGCTTTGCATTGGTTGTAAACAGATTCCAGTATGAAGCCTCAGCAACCCTTATTCCCTCATCTTGTAATGGTATCTGCAAAGAGAAAGTATGGATGAAAAGTGTATTTCTTTGGATTTTCCTCAGTAATATTTCCAGAAATGAAAAACTGTAATTCCCACAGATGAAGTCCGCTATTCTTTATATGGCAAAGCAAAATGTCCAGTTGATAGGGTATGACAGAAAACCACTTAAACTTCCCTTTCAGAATTTTGTAAAAAATACTATACTACTTGAAAACAAGCAGAGCAATCTCACCACTGGTCCTTTGTTGTGCGTAGTTCGGTTTCCATGGCAGTAGACAGCTCAGTCCAAACACAGGCAGCTTTTTCTACCAAAAAATAAAGAACAAAAAAATGGAAGCGATGCAGTAGTGGGGAGGGGACACAATCCAATAAATTATAAGTAGCGGTTCATATGCAGGGACCATATTCCTTGTGCTATAAATGCTTAAGAGATTTATAACAAAGATTTCCCCATTTTTGGTATGTACATCTGCATTATGGCGCTGCAAAGCATTCAGGAGTGCTTTGCAGAACATATTAGCATTTCTACTTCAAAGACTCTCCCTGGATATCTGTATATGAACCTGCATGCAGATCCAACATTTTTCTTAGAACATCAATGAAATAAGATGCTGAGCATCCATATACACAAATGGACAGCTGGTAAAAATCTTTAACTGTCTGAGCATGTCAAAGGACTTGGCCATGTTTATCTTATTTATTTATTAAATTTATCTGCCACCCATCTCCCCTCTAAGGTGACTTTGGGTGACTATGTTAAAGGTTTGAGGAAGGGTTGTTCATTTGCCATAAACATCAGGTTTTTCAATAATTTGGTACAGCTTTGATCTACACAGCTGATGATATGCCTTATAGTGCAAATCATATTGCTCTGTTAATGACACAGGCAGTTATATCATCCTTTGCCTGTTCTGTAACTTAGAAGAAAGGAAAAAAATCACTTTCATAATCTGTGAAGAGTTTTGTGGTATTATTATTATTATTATACAATTGTATCACAGCGGCCAGTTGTTTCGCCGGATTTGGCATTGGTTACTAGTCGGGGCCCACCCAGGGGCCTAGGACGTCGTAACGTATTTTCGTAATATGCGTGCAGATCCAAGCAGTGCGGCTTTTTGCATTTTGACTGATGGTGATTTTGTCAATTTTTAACTGTTTTAAATTATTATTATTATTATACAATTGTATCCCAGCGGCCAGTTGTTTCGCCGGATTTGGCATTGGTTACTAGTCGGGGCCCACCCAGGGGCCTAGGACGTCGTAACGTATTTTCGTAATATGCGTGCAGATCCAAGCAGTGCGGCTTTTTGCATTTTGACTGATGGTGATTTTGTCAATTTTTAACTGTTTTAAAT